GGGCAATTATTAGTCTCCATTTTCCACCCACCAGCCAAGGATATTGAGAATTCAGACCTTGTTTGATTTTGATTTTGATTTTGCATGAATAGCAGTATTAATGAGTCGGCTGGCTTGCTTGGTTCTTCTTCTATTTCTTCCATGGCGTTGATTGGGGTTCATTAAATATGGACGTAAATCCAGCTGCATGCCAACCAAGCAATCAGCATGCACGCGTGTGCCAACAAATTCAATTCATCAACGCTGCAAAATCAGAGATGGGCCTGGTGGTGGACTTCAGTTTTTAATTCATATATTGATATTGGTCTTAAGAAGAAAAGGAGAAAGAAAAACAATCATAATATTATAGCAATTATGTATTATGGAGTTCAGTTTTGAGTTCTGACTTAATAAGGCCAATCTGAAATCTAAAGGAAGAAGGGTTGATGTTGTGGTGATCCCACTTTGTCACTTATGAATCACTTTTTATTCCCCCACCAAAACAATCGATAGAATACAGGGTATTTTATTACAAATATATAGATATGAGTAATTCAAACAAACAAACAAAAACCATAATCAAAATCCGTTTTAAATTCATAATAAAAAAACTTAATAGTCCATAATAATAGTTAGTCATATACATGATTGAGGTCCGTAAGCCCCATAATTTGAAGGCCCTATGCCGGAGAGCCTGCTGGCACACCCTCAGAGGCAAGTCTAGAATTGAGTTAAAGCTAAGTCACGGAGAACTGTCTTTCTGGTCTGCTTTAGAAAACTTACGTTCAGTTTTGAGTTTTTAAGTATGTTTTATGAGTTTTACGGTGTGCTGAACTTTTGGTTTGCTTTATGAGCTTTATGGTCTACATTATGTGTTTTATGGTGTGATTGGGTTAATTGCATGGTTGGTCACTGAGATTACAAAAAACGTTCATGTTTGGTCACTGGAAATATTTAAATCCAATCTTGGTCACTCAAATTAGTCAAATGGTTCAAGTTTGGTCACTCTCCGTCCAACTCCGTTAAATTTGTCTGATGTGGCAGTCAACCCTCAAAGTTGACCGTTAACTCAATGACGTGGCAATTAAAAAATAATAAATAAAATAAATTTTAATCTTCTACCATTTCCAACTCATATTCACAATAAAGTAAAATAAAAAAAATTATTATAGTCACAAATTGAAAGAGGAGATTTTCTCCTCCTCCACCACATCCCTTCCCCGCAACCAAATCGGCTTCCAATTCCTCGTCCTAGCACCGCCCCTGCCGCCGTCCCAGCCCGCTCTCCGCCTACTGCACGACCCTTCGATTGCTCGCGACAACGCAGGTGAAATCTCCAAGCTACGGTGACTACTGGCCATCAAATAATCGACCGAAACAACATCATCCCCTGTTTTGTCGTCGTTCCAGGATCTACATCGAACCTTCCATATACAAAATCAGGGCTCAACATCCCTCGCTGCTGTGACCCACTATTCTGTCAAGATGAAGGGATCTGGGAATAGATACGACCTCCGGCCGCTTCTGTGACCGTTGTCATAGGATCCAAGCAGCGACAACTGTTTTTTATTACACAGAGGTAAGGACGAGAAGTTCTTGGACGAAGAAGTCATGTTCCATGCCGCGAGGTCCAGATTCCTCTAACTGAACAAGGGATTTGGTCGAGGGAAACGAGATTTGGAGGGTTCGCAACCGTCATAATCCCATGCCCTCATTTTCCACTGCCAATCTGGTTCTGCAATTGGTTCCATCAATTACGCTGCTTCGTTTAGCAATTTCACCTGCAATTCGTTCCATAGGTCAAAGGAGGTGATGGGAGAAGATGAGGGTGAAGTATATATATTTGTCTCAAACAGATGAAGAAGACAAGGGGAAAGGTCGAGAGAAGAGGAGACAAGAAGGGTCTTGGTTCGCTGGGAGGAATTCGTCTGATGAGGGTGAAGTATACCCTTCGATTGCTCGCGATAGTGCAGGTGATTATGAGTGGCGGCGGCAGCAGCGGACGGAGCTAGTGATGGGAATTGGGAGATGGTTTGGTTGCGGGGAAGGGATGTGGTGGCGGAGGAGAAAACTATCCTTTCAATTTGTAACTATTATATTTTTTTTGTTTTATTTATTTTAGGTTATTGTGAAAATGAGTTGGAAATAGTATAAGATTAAAATTTATTTTATTTATTATTTTTTAATTGCCACGTCACCGAGTTAACAGTCAACTTTGAGGGTTGACTGCCACATCATACAAATTTAACGGAGTTGGACGGAGAATGACCAAACTAGAACCATTTAACTAATTTGAGTGACCAAGATTGGATTTAAATATTTTCAGTGACCAAACATGGACGTTTTTTGTAATCTTAGTGACCAACCATGCAATTAACCCTGGTGTGATTTATTGTGTTTTTAATTGGTATGAGTTTTATGACTTTATGATATATTTGTTCCACATGCGTGTTTCTGTGATAATTTTAAAAAATGACAAGTGTACCCTCTCTTTAAAAATCAACATTTAAGTCTAATTCTTCTAAGTGTGAGCTATACTGTGGAGGATTGCCTCAGGAGTGGAAAGAGAGTATGACAGCTTTTGCTGGGTATAAGCTAGGTACCCTTCCAGTTAGGTATTTGGGGGTTCCTTTAATTTCAAACAAGCTTTCAGTTAAGGCTTGTCGCCCCTTGATCGATAAACTCATGAACAGAATCCAAAACTGGGGGTCAAAACTCTTGAGTTATGCTGGAAAGCTTCAACTTGTCTTGTATGTTATCTATAGCTTAGTACAATTCTGGATGATAATTTTTGTTTTACCTAAGAAAGTTATTCAGGAAATTGAGAAAACCTGCAGTAATTTTCTATGGGGAGTGGGAACATATGGTAAAATAAGAGCTAAAGTTGAATGGAGCAGAATCTGTTTCCCCAAGAAGGAAGGTAGGTTGGGGATCAGGAACCTAAACCGTTGGAATCAAGCCTTTGTACGTAGTAAGACATATATGGGAGCTGTTGTTGAAAGAAGGTTCTTTATGGGTGGCCTGGGTACAAGAATACAGACTGCACCATGCTGATTTCTGGACTGCAAATGGTCAGGCTGGTTCGTGGATATGGTTGAAAATACTAAAGATTAGAGAGCAAGTTCAGGGGCATCTTTCAATTGTAAATGGTGTTGGTTCTTGGGATGGAAGGGCTCAGAAGAAGTTCCCCCTGAGGCAAGTCTGAGAATTATTTCGTCCTAAACTCCCTGTTGTGGAGTGGAACAAGCTGGTCTGGAAAGGGCCTACTATTCCCAGAGATAAGTTAATCTGCTGGTTAATTACTAAAGGCTACATCACAACTGGTGATAAGCTACTTAGCTGGGGGTACAAGGGGAGTTTCAAGCGTGTGTTTTGTGATGCAGGTATTGAAACACATAATCATCTCTTCTCTGAATGCAGTAGATACAAGGAGCTGTTCAGGTTGTTGTTCTCCAAGTTTACTTGCAGATCCCCTTCTAACAGCTGGGGAGATGAACTTCACTGGGCGGTTTTTTCTTTCTCTGGTTCTGGGAGGCCTTGCAAGGCTGGCCGCCTCCTCTGGCAAGCACTTCTTAGTAGTATATGGAGAGATAGGTGTAATGCTAAACATGGGAAACCAATCTGGAAACTTGAGGAACTGTGGAAGAGATTGCAAAGCGATCTGGAAGCTATATGCACATCGGAAGACCTGAAGCCTTTTTTGTGAATGAGTGTTTCTGATTTGTCTTGCTCTTGGCTTAGTTACTTCAAATTTTGTAATAGTTGCTAGACTAACCTAGTGGTAAGGGATGTTGCCATAAGTAAAGTCCTTTTTGATGAAATAAAAGTCCAGCACATTCATAAAAAAAAAAATCAACATTAAATTGCGGTAAACGCTTTCAACATTAAAAGTGAGAAAAATGAAAACTTCTTATTAGGTGGGGTTAGTGTTAGAATCATACTTATAAATTAGGTGTTAGCACTCTAACATCACCCGAATTTGAGAGAGAGCCATTGATCTTGTCTTCCCAGGAACAAAGACATACGTGGAGTATGGATGACAATTAAACCAAAACCCATGGGTACCCAACCCGATCACAACAAATAAAATGTGGATTTGCCAAATCCGACCCGCTTCTCCCCCTACCCATACCCATAAAGTTAAACAATATCGTTTTGCATCTAACCTTAATAATATGGGTAATTTGTAGATGTTATTAGTTTTTATATAAATATATTTATAATAATATGAATGTTATTAGTTTCCATGAAGATACATTTGTAAGAAAATTTATAATATTACAACTTGAGAATTCGAATTAATTATTTGCAGTTATACCAATGTACCCATAGGTGTCTATAAAGTATAAACCTACTGGCACCAATTGAGGGGTCGTTTGGAAGTCGCGATTGTTAAATAGATGTATTGTTGAGAATGCATGTATAATATTATATATGTATTGTCGAATTTGATGCATTGTAGAATACAATGTTTGGTATGTGTGATTATGTATGTCGCATTAGCTAAAAGCTGAGACAAAACAATCTCAACTCAACTATCTCAACAATCACAACTAAAAGTTGAGATATAACAATCACTCAAAATGAGTGATAGTTTCTGTCACATCACGAAAACAATCCATGTATTGTTTCTGCTAAAAAAACAAAAAAAATGATGCATTGTAAACAATACATGCATAATGACAATCTCAATAAAACTATCGCAACTTTCAAACGACCCCTGAATTAAGTTGAATTTTCTATTCGAAAATTCAGTGTGTTTAGAGACATTCAATTCAACCCATCTATCCGATCTATTATCACTCAATGTGAGAAACTTCCCAAACAGTGGCAGTAGTGGCAGATCCAGCTATTCCAAAGCGATCAGCCCACAAATCCCATATATGAATTCATCCCTCATCTTTGGGTAAATACTTTGAGATAAGCCCACAAAGCCTGGAGGCCCAACCCTCCCTTTTATTCCTTCTTAAATCATGGTTACTAAGTTTTTGACTTATTTACTTGATGCAAAAGTCATGAAAAATATTTGAGAGGTCCCTAATCTTCTCCTATTTCCCCAAAACACCCCCGACTGAAATAAGAGAAAGAAAACCCCATCTTAGCATCAGCCTTAAACCATCGCTCCCAGTTCTCTTTCTAGCTCGCCCCACTCCGCGCAAGAACGACTGGTAGCGGCGAGACGAGCAATCGCCGTAACTCGATCTTCCCCTCCGCCATCTTCGTTTTCTCCTCCTCGTTCTTCCAGAGGTAGACCTCTTGGCTTCAGCTTCAATTCCAATTTCTGCTCTCCGTTTCCAGTAGCCTCGTTTCACTGATTCCTTCGGTCTTGTATCGAGTCAGTCCCCGCCAGATCTCGTTCGATTCCTTCGTTCTCCTCGAGAATTTCTCGTTCTTCCGATTACCGATTGGTTGCTTTTGGTCTGAGCTTGTTTTCGTTTGCGATTTTGTTGCCGCTGACGATTTTATCGTCCCTGTTGATGCCGTCAATTAGGGTTTTGGTTGTGGTTTTGAGCTGCCTATGCGTCCTTGTTTGGTGTTGGATTTCTTGGATCTCTACGCAGATCATCTTGTTTGTCGATTTACCTTGCGGTTTGGGGGACTGTCGATTGATTGAACTTTTTTCCTGGCGCGGTTTCAGGCATTAGTTTGTTGAACCAATGGCGTCCAAATTGCATCAGTTGAAATCCAAGGCTTGCCAAGCTACTCAGTTCGTAACCAAGCATGGCACCACCTACTACAAGCAGTTATTGGAGCAGAACAAGCAGTACATTCAGCAACCTGCAACTGTTGAGAAGTGCAATGAATTGTCCAAGCAATTGCTCTACACTCGACTAGCCAGGTCTGCTTTTCTTCCTCCCCTTGTTATGTTGGGTTTCAATTGCGTTGATATTTGTCCCACTGCTGTTTGTTTCTGCTGGCAATAGTGGGTTGTGAATTGATAACATTTAGGATGGTATGCGCATGTAGTGTGATCCCTTTTGTGGGTTTTAGATAGCGCAATCTGATGGCAATAACGCGGTTGGTCTTGTTGTATCCTTAATGCCATATTGATCTTGTTATGGATCTCAATTCTCTACACAAGTTCACTGAAGAATTGGTCTATGGTCGTTTGCATATCTTCTGCCATTTTGTTAAGCCATTGAGACTGTTTTGCTAAGATACTGCTGCTGACAAGTGTTGAATTTATATAGTCTTCTTCCCCACATTGACTATCACTTCATGTTCTTGTGGACCATCTGTTAACTTCACTGACACCAAGTGAATTAATGGTTTGATGGTGCTACTTTCAGATTATTGATTTGTTTGAATCAAGCACTTAGATTGTTAATTTGACACCTAATTGAATAGTCAGCTAAAACCCTTAAGTCGCACTTTCCTGATCTTAGTTGAGTACAATATCATGGCTCATGTTATCAAGAGTCGAAATTTCCGATTTACATATGACTCATTGAAATAGTGCTTACCAGATGAGAAACTAATCCTTGTGTCTTTGTGATGTTTGATAAAATAACATTGCCTACTTTGGTTATGAGCTTAGCCATTGTAAAATTGTAAGAAGGGAATGAGCTAACCTATTGTTACTAGATCACAACTTGTAAAGTAATGGGTGCTGAACACTCCATTTTCTGCCAACTGTGACTAGTTCAGTGAGGTGGGTTGGTCTTGTTATCTGTATGTTTGACATGTGTTGGGTTCTTCTCTTTGAAACAGTATCCCCCAGCGAAATGAAGCATTCTGGAAGGAACTTGACTACGTGAAGAACTTATGGAAGAAGAGGCAGGACTTGAAGGTCGAGGATGCTGGCATTGCTACGCTGTTTGGACTCGAGTGCTTCGCTTGGTATTGCGCTGGTGAAATCGTTGGGAGGGGATTCACCTTCACCGGCTACTACCCTTGAGAGAGATGATAACCCCACGTTGTTGAACGGTTTGTTCGGAGAGTTAAGCTTCGGTTGTCATCTGCGTCATTGAAACGTACTGCTGGCACTTTACTACTCGCAGATTTTACTTTCCTTTACTTCTCCTGCAATTTTTTTTGAAACCCCGAGACACCAGTGGTTGCTTGTGCGGCCCCAATAATTTGATAGGTCGAAGCTGATTTAGGAGTTCTGCGGTTGGTTTCATTTCTCTGTCCATTAAGATCACTACTGTTTCTCTCATGGAATGATTGATAAATTTCTCAACTGTTCAGTTAAAGTTCAGTTCGACGCTCGATCTTGTATCCAGCGTGCTCATCCTGATCTTCGAGTTCTCACTTCCACAGTCCACTGTTGAAATTCTTTGTTAGAACGAGAAAGGGCTGGCTATTTGGTCCGGACTGTTTGGTTAAGACTTAAGACAGGACTGGAATAAAATTAATTTGGTTCAATTTAACCGGACCGTATAGCCACCCCTACGAGAAAGCATGGTATGCCTCTTTTTATTGTAGGTCACATAAAAAAGGTCATGATTTAGTCCAAGGTTGTGTTCTCTATCGAACCAGTTTAATGATATGAACCGATTTGACAAATCTAACAGTGTTGACCTTCCTTCCTCTGCTACAACGGGCCATATGGCTGGATGGACCAGGAAATTTAGGAATTCTGGCCGTGCAAAATGGGCCCATGATCCGAGATCCCAAGTCCAGTGACGAATCACAATGGAGCAGGCCGGAGGGGTGGATCGGGCTGCCACGTGGCTTCCTGACTCCAAATAATTGTTGGGACGCAATTGGCTGTGAGCCTGTGACCACGTCATCGCCCCTGCCACGAGGGACGGCGAGAACGGAACAGATCGACGGAATAACCGCCAAGGAAACGCGCAGACTCGCAAATCAAAACGGAAAAAACAAACAAACGCAAGGAAGGAAGGAGCGAAGGGGCCGAGGCAGGCGAAGGAAGCTGAACGAGCTGCAGCTAAGGAAGGAGAAGAGAAGCAAGAATGCCAGTAGTTGGTGCTGCTCCTGCTCCGATGAGGAACCGCCTCGCCGCCGCAGCAGCATTCTTCTTCACATTCCTCTTCCTCTTCGTCCTCGCCTCTTCCTCCCCGGCCGGCAATCGCGACGGCCCCCAGGTAACCTCTTTCTCTCTCAGATCCCCCGCCCCACTGCCTGGATCTCGCTTTCGCTTTCTCTTCTTCTTTCACTAATCGATTCAGTTCCTCCGCTGGCTGGCCCGCCGCATTGATTCCGCCGCCGCGAATTTGCTCTGGCAGCCGATATGCAGCAGAACTTGTGTCACGGAGAATTGTGATAGTACGTGTGAACCCTGCCGTATTCTCATTGTCTTTGGTTACTTAGGAAGAAGAATTTCATGTAACCTCTTGTTCGATTTCCAGCCTTTGGGATACGGTACGGGAAGTACTGCGGCGTAGGTTGGACTGGCTGCCCCGGCGAGAAGCCGTGCGACGAGGTTGACGCCTGCTGCAAGGTTCACGACGATTGCGTTGGAAAGAAAGGTTTGCCGTTACTGCTTGATTTCAGTTTTTCAGAGTGACTTTGGATGTGGAAAATCCATATAAAATGCCGGCCTCTTTATGTATTAGGTATGACAAACGTGAAGTGCCACCAGAAGTTCAAAACGTGTGTGAAGAAAGTGCAGAAATCAGGGAAATTAGGGTTCTCCAAGGAGTGTCCATACGAGAAGGTCGTCCCTACCATGGTGCAAGGTATGGATATGGCCATCATGTTGAGCCAGTTCGGTAACGCGAACGTTGAGCTCTGATTGGATTGTGGTTCCCTTTCTCTCTCGTATTGTTCCAATTTTATCGAATGTCTCGCTGATTGGATTCTTCCCTAAAATGGGGAACTGTTGGACTGAATTCCCTCAACCAATTATTTGAACCCTTGGCGGTTCCTTGTAACTTTGCTGGTGTATATGAATACAAGATTAGAACCTGAAGAGATGTTCCACTTAATCATCGGCTCTCATCTTTTCTGGCATCTGCAAGCCTGCAACTTGTCTGTTTTGAGTATTATGGATGGATCATAGCTTGAGAAGCTTGTACCTTGTTCTTACAGCCACCGGTGTTTGTGCTTTATTGATTTTGAGTAGAATGGCATATGATAGTTGGGTTCTTATGCCTGCCCAGTGCCTTGCTGTAGTTAGGTTAGCAATGCTAACTCTTCCATAAGGATTAAGGAAAGTATATAAAGAGGCAACTGTCACATCAAGTTCTCTTGCATCAGCTGTCAAGGTGTATATAGTTTGCATTAGTTCCAAGGTGCATCAAACCAGTAGGATCATTGAACTCAGGTAGATGTAGACAGTTTGGTTTCGTTCAGAGGAGAGTGGAGGGATCTGTAAGAAGCCATGGGCGGAGTAGCTCGCTGTGAATAGTACTGTAGGTAATCTTGTTCTGGAGGTGTTCTAGCTCGAGGGTGCCCTTTTCACATGCTTTTAGGTAGTGAATGGTGCATTTGCGTGTGGCCGAGAGTTTTTTGTGCAGTGGAGAAAACAGGAATCGCTGGATGGCGAACTGATGATGAGGATGTGGTTCGTGTCGTTTCTAGCGAATCTACTCGTGATGGTGAATACACGGAGGAATGATGGGAGTGGAGTATCAGTAAGGTAATATTCTTTCCACGTCCAGAGTGTTTGTTTTCTGTGGAAAATGATATAGCTGGTTAGGACAGGGAAATGAAGCCTATAATATGCATTGAGTGTGACAAGAATTCAAGGAAGAAGTATTTAGCACGAAGTCAAGACAAATTGGGATTATTTTGCTAGAGGAAAGTTCGAGTGTTACTGTCTTTTTGTCGTACATTCTGTTCTGTTGCGGTTAGAGGTTTTCCTGCAAGACAAGCAAACTGCAACAAAATTTCCCCTCGTATTTGCAGAAAAGTTGCTTGCTTGTTATTTTAGAATCACAACTGCTCAGTGGACGTTATTGTTGGCTTGTAAAGCCCGAAACGGAAAAAGAATAATTAAAAAGGCAAAGACAAAAGGAGGACGCAAAGCTTAATCAGTTCAGCACACTCAAAATTTGAGTGTCGTGCTTAGGCAGATAGGTAGGAGCATTTGTTGATATCGTTGAATTGTTTTTTTCATTAGTTTTCTAATAATTTGGACCGAGTTCGATAAATAATTTTATAGAGAGTGTCGTCATAGTAATCCAACAAGTGAAATTACGCGAGGAAAATCAAACAGTTTACACGAAATTGGTTCTCATTTTCTTCCTTTTGCCTTTTAGGGTTTTATGGGGTTTTCTATAGTTGAAACGGTAGTGGAAGGTTCTTCTAAAGAGTTGTCTGCCATTCCAGTTTCTTTGTTGTCCGTTGAGAATTGTTTCACAACTTGTCGGCTACCAGAACCTTTTTGTAAATTTCTCACCTGCAAAACGGGGCCGGCCAGGTGCCAGGTGGGTTTGAAATGGAAGCTCAAAGACAAGGTGAGGTGTTGGGGAAGGAAGAGTCCAATTAGAGGGAGAGAGATGTCATTTTCCAGCTTCTACAATCGTCACAGTGAAGGTAGGAAACAAGAGCGCAATGACACGGTTTGGCTTTCTCGTTATGCTGACGACGACGATCTGTCGACACCGGACTACAACGGGAACCGGCCCCAGAAGATGAGCACAAACTTTGATGACGCGGAAGCTTAACAAAATCCTCAGGCGCCGACGTTGACCTTCGAACTGTGTTGCGGGGCCTTGTTCCTTCTGGTCAATTCCCGTTGTATTATTTATTATATAATCATATCCTATTATTTGCTGCTTCTAGCAAAAGATAATATAGGATAGATCGGATTTTGCTATTATGCTTAAACTTGTTTATAGGTGTTTGATGTTGTTGGATTTGATATCACCGATTTAATGATATCGGGTGTGTTGAATGAAAACGGTGATATTTGTTAAAAATATGATTACTGTTTTCATCCAACGATGGCGAGTCTTCATGGTTGATTAAATGACATTGATAACCAGTCGTAAGGGGTGTGCAACAGTCAGCGGAGCAAATTCAGGAGAAATCGTGGTTCAGTAATGGAAGACATTTCAGGACCAAGGATCGGGCCAACAGTGCATCCGGTCCTTTTTGGTCAGGATTTGATATGGTCCAAATGTCAATTTGGTTCATTTTTCTTCAGTATCTATAAAGTTCATGGGATCAAAGACAATACCATATTATATTCAGTTCGATATGGTCTGATACAATCCAATACAGACCAACTCGTCGCTCACCCCTAGTTAGTTGTAGTATATCCTTAGCTTTCTCAAAATTAGGCATGTGCAATGATCTTGATCAAGTCGACAAATAAACCATACCAAACTCGGGCCGAACAAAATGCAGTCCGATCTTATAATATTGAAAAGATAGATAAATGTGATAAAACGGGTTAAGTCGAGCCGAATGATATAATCCGCGCTTTTCCTAAAATGTTTTACTATTTTGTCCTAAAATGTTCATCTTTCATAGTTCATACACATGATTAGGTTATCGTGCTATCGCCCGCACCCAATTTTGACCCGCTCGCCGTTTAGCTAACTTAATCACCCCAATTAACAAAATAGACTTTTTACGTTCGCATCACATTTTCCCGGAAATTTCAATCATTTTCTCCCTTCCCTTCCCTGGCCCTTCCAATTCTTCTTCTCAGAATTAAGAATCTCCCCCGTATCTCTCTCTCTCCCCGCGGATCGAAATCCATCTCCATCTCCGACTTCTTCTCCCTCCCCACCTTCCTATCTCCAAGTTAAGAATCAAAGAGATACAACGGAAGCGGCAGTAATCGGCGATCACACCTTCTGTTGTTTGCCGCCGCGGCCTGCTTATTGGACCGAGCTATGCTTCACAGGAGCTTCAAACCGGCAAAATGGTGAGCTCTCGCTTCGGCTTGTTCTATTTTTCAGGACCGACGAGAATATATGAGTTCACTCTGTTAATCTCTGTTCCCGGGAAGGGAATTTCGATGGAGGATTTCGCGATTGTAACCGCGTTTGATCTTGGTTTTGATTTTGACTTGTTGCTCGTTTCAGCAAGACGGCATTGAAGATGGCGTCTTCCCGCATCAAGCTGCTGAGGAACAAGAGAGAAGTGCAGTTGAGGCAGTTGAAGAGAGAAGTTGCTCAATTGCTCGCCGCCGGCAACTACCGGACTGCCAGGATCCGAGTACTGCCCTCTCTTTCATACTTGTTTGTTAATTCTTCCAGTTCGGTCGCCGTTGTATTGGAGTTTGTAATATTCGGATTTCTAGTTCTTTTGGCTATCCCTTTTGGGTTTTCTTTTTCTTTCCCCCCTGTGTCGAGAAATCCGTGATATGGTTCTACTTCATGGTTGTCTGGTGGACATGGTTGGATGCTGATATTTGGGTAGGGTTTGGCTTCTGGACCGGTGACTTGGTTGATCGTGTTGCAGAATTGAGAGGGTTTTGTGACAGTTGGTAGCAATTTCAGCTTATTGGCTGCCTATAGGATGATGGGTTCTTGTTGCTGGTTCACTTCTACCATTCTGACACGAAATCTCTTGATTTTATGCGATGATGTAATCTTTTCCGTAGATAATCTGGTTGTAGCTGAACTGCTGCTGATTCCTGCTCTTGCTGTTTTTGGCTTACAGGTGGAACATGTAGTTAGGGAAGAGAAGACAGTGGCGGCTTATGATCTTATTGAGATATACTGCGAGCTGATTGTTGCCCGTTTGTCCATGATTGAGTCACAAAAGTATGCATTCCTTCTGTGTAATTCCAGAAACTAGTTAGCGTTTACTGTTTTTGGGATCATATTAATATTATGAATGTTTTACCCTTTTGTGGGCACTGTGATAAAGAACGTTTGATTGAGTCTGCTGGGCTTGTGATCTATGGTCTCAATTTCAGTGATCTTCGTTGCGTTGGCTTTTTTTAATTCACATATTCTGATGGATATGCAACATATGAAAGTTACTTTGTCAGTAAAGTTCATGGTTTTCTTACCTCTTTGCTATTTTTTTTTTTTTTTTTTTTGCAGACTCTGCCCAGTTGACTTGAAGGAAGCAGTCTCTAGTGTTGTTTTTGCATCCCCTAGATGTGCAGACTTGCCGGAGTTGGCAGATGTTAAAAAGCATTTTAAAGCAAAATATGGAAAGGAATTTGTTTCTGCTGCTGTTGAACTACATCCAAATTGTGGAGTGAGCCGCTTGGTAAGTCAGTCTAGGTCATTTCCTATGCGTGGTTTTTTGGTTTGGGCAATTTTGATAACAGTCCTTTACTTTGGTTGTGTATCCTATTTTAGCTCGTGGAGAAACTGTCTGCAAAAGCACCTGATGGCCCTGAAAAGATGAAAATCTTGAGTGCAATTGCCGAGGAACAAAATGTTAAATGGGATCCCAAATTGTTTGAGGACGTTGTCAAGCCTCATGAGGACTTGCTCGTAAGTGTTGAAAGCTCAGCAATTTGTTCCTCCTTTTCTTTTATTCTCCAAGTAGTCGGTAGTTACTAATATCTGCATCTTGTTAAATTTTTTGAGCAGAACGGACCTGCTACATTTCAACCAGCTAGCACAGTGCATGCCCAAACTCATAATGTAGACCCACCTCAGAATTTCAACAGGAGTCAGGTTTCTTCCCATGGAAAGCATGATACAAGCACAACCTCATATGCGCCTAACTACCAAACATCTTCTCATTTGCAATCGCCTAGGGCTGATGATTTCGGTTCAAGTGAGGCAATGCCATCTGTTTTCGTTAACCCAGAGCAGGGGACTCCTCCAGGTACAGGACCTGAAGTTGTGGAATATAGACATTCATATGCTAGGTCAGGGGAAATGTTTTCTTCTGGGAGCCACCAGCATTGGAATACAGAGTTCAAGGATGCCACGGCTGCTGCACAGGCAGCTGCTGAGTCTGCAGAACGAGCAAGCATGGCTGCTAGAGCTGCTGCTGAACTCTCAATTCGTGATAACTTGAACAGGCGTCAGTCGAGAGATGAATCACATTTGGCTTCTGGGTTTTCACATAGAGAGGATGAACGGCAGCATCATACTACTGGCTCTAGGTTACAAGGTCAGAGGTCTTCCAAGGATCCGGTGAAGAATACATCCAAAATTAACTCTCGTGTGAACCATGAGCAGCAGACTGATGACACTGAAGAAGATGTCCTAGCTGCTTTGAATGAAAGGTTTTATAATCTTAAGGGCCGGTTGGCTGCTACCTCAGATTCCGATGATCCTCCTGAAGTTGTTTCTTCTCCGTCTTTGAGTAACAGGCAACCAGTAGAGAGGCATTCCCGAACGAGCTCGTCTGAATCAGAGAAGAGCGACGTTTCAAGTGATAGAAATATGAGAAGAGCGCCCAGTGAACATGAGGGGGACAGTATTGGTAGCAACATGAATGGTGGAGAAAATCCTGAAAGTTTTGATTATTTTGATGAATCAAGGGTCGAGCACCAGTCTAGTGTTCTTCGTACTCATCCCCATACAGAAATTCCAAGTTTCGATGATAATTCAACCTCAACTTGGGACTTTCATAAGTCAAGTGAAGATGCTACTTCTGAGGATCTTTTTGTCATTGGACAAGCAAGAAGCCGAGTAAATGCCCAGGAAAGTTCATCTGATGTTGCCACTGCAGTATTCGATGATTATGGTTCTGATGATGACGAGGCATATAATTTGCATGTTGAGGATGAACTTAATGCCCAACGATCCAATATGGCCTCTCATTTTTCTTCACGGACAAATGCATGGAGCTCTGGGCAGAAGAGCTTGTCTCCAAGGAAGTCAAGTTCTTCATCTCTCTTTGCCACTGAGAGGAACCCTAGTTTTGTAGCTTCGGAGGGTTTAACTAACAGTTTAGTTCCATCCAAACAGGACGATTTGTTACCAGTGACCTTTGATGACTCGGATGGCCCGAGTTCTGAAAATGAAGAGGATGGTAGTATTTCATCTCAAGTCCATTCCAGAAACCTGGGCGATCATCACCTCAATGACAGTTCATCCTTGATGGCATCATCATCGCCTGCTGAAAATGAGAATTTAGGGTACAATAATAGACAGACTTCGCTACGCCCATCTTCAGCCAACTCCATTGAAGGACAAATGCATCATCAGAATATCCAGGGAGTTGGAGCTGATGTTATAAAAGCTGACGATGGGCAGTTTGACCATCCCAATCGTTCTTCTATCAGCTCTGCACAATCTAGATCCAATTCAAGTGATGTGAATGAGAAGTTTCAAACACCAGGACTTCCTCCCGCTGGAGATAATGATAGTGATGATGAAAGTGGATCCGGTTCTGAAGGTGGTAAGGAGTTGAACTTTGGATTCCTGGCTGGGGGGCTTCGAAACAAAGGCTATAAACACCCACCTTATCTTAAAAATCCTGCTATCCAAAATCCTTCACCATCCAAACAAGCTGTTGAAGAAGATACTTCTACTAGAAATATTCAAGACACATCCAGTCAGGTACCTCACCAAGAAGCAAGTAGAAGAAGAACAAGCTCAAGAACTCAAGCTATATCATATAATTTCAGTGATGGTGATTCAGTCAAGGACCCACCTTTGCAACAGAAATTTAACAGTACTGAAGAAGGCCGACATAGTAACCATAACTCAGGAGGAGTTGAAGTGAACAAAGTATCCGGGTCTCGAAGAACCTTCTTCGATTCAGATGATAGTGATGCCGAAATGGAACTTTCTAAACAGAAATCAGCCGCAGGGAAGTCTGTTGCAGGTCAGGCATTTTCCAGGCGTACTAAAGCTGCTGCTGCTTCTGATAATAGGAGTTCCCATCCAAAGAACAAGATCTCATCACAGTCTTCAGGAAATGTCGACTACGTTGCCCCCACTCGTCAAAGTCCTCCAACATCTAACTCAAAGCCTTCAACATTCCGGTCGAGTTCAGAATCGCCAGTATCCTCTGGGAAGAACAGCGTTAGACCATCTGTCACAAAACAAACATCAAATCCCGCTGCTCCTAAAACAGTTCCTCCAGGAAACAAGGAAAGTAGTGCAAAGGCTTCTGGGTCAGCTGTGGATCCCCCATCCAGAGAAGATTCCATCAACAGAGCAAGTCACGTCCACCCTAAACTACCCGACTACGATACTTTTGCAGCACACCTACTGTCTCTTCGCCAGGATCGCCAGTAAAAACTTACGTGCCAAGTTATTCATTTATCCCACACATAAAAGGATTTACTCTTTCCCAAACGTTATTCTTTCCGATTACTTGATTGTTTCGTATATGGCAGATACAGATAAATCGTGCTTTTTATGTCCTTTACATCTTGCTGTAAATTCCCCACTGTAATTTTAATTTTACAAAACGTTTTTGTTAGTTTGCATAAAGTGAGGCAATATTCATATGTAGTGGATAGATTGAGAATATAATTGTTTGTGGAGAATGGAGGTGATGAATAAAGTGAAGTCATATTTTCATGCTTCCCATGTTATGATGAGTCTTATCTACGTCAAACTGCCTACCAGTTTGTACCAAAGAAAAAACCTGGTAGGTACATGAACCCAGAAAAGGGCGGATCTGCTTTTGTCAACTGCTTGCTGGTCATGGAATCTGTGTGGCCCCTACTTTTCTTCCTGAAAGTTCTTAACATTTTCTTGTCATTTCAGACAGCACAGGAACTGCATGATCCGAGCTTCGCTTGTTCAAGATCGTATTGTCCGAGCCAATTTATACATGTTTGTGCTACTAACAAATCTGTGTGGCACCCTGCTAGCTGTATAACAGATCATAGGAAGCGGAAAACCAGAGAACAAAAGTGACGCAAGAGATTCCAACTGTGTTTGTTTGCAGCATTGAAATAGGAGGCAGCCAGCACCATGGAACTGCCTACAAGAATCATACCCAATCCACACCTGTTGCAGAGTGATGATCTGCTCAAGGTACTCACTCGCCCGCTGCAATCTCTGCATGCAGCAGTGTATTTGATTTAACTGGATGATCAACTTGGAGTGGATTGTTGCTGTATATGTGTATTATATTGCAGCATATCATGGAGACTACTGTGTACCCAAGAGAGCCACAAGTCCTCAAGGAGCTTAGAGATGCAACTGCCAAAGATCCTCGGTACGTATCCGATTAACTAACTAAACTACCCTTTTTTCTACAATTTGGTAGTGAATGTAGTAAATGAATCATGCATTAACAAACTCTGGTTTTGGATTTTGCTTGTGTTGAATTCCTGTAAAAATACAAACTTTGGAAGGTCACCAATGGCTGCTGATCCACACGCTTCACAGTTCATGAGCATGCTTCTGAAGATGATGAATCCAAAGAGAACCATCGAGATCGGAGTCTACACTGGCTACTCCCTCCTCGCCACTGCCATTTCCACTCCTCCTGATGCCAAGGCAGTGCCACTCACTCAGCCAACTCTGCATTCTCCATACTTGCTCATAAGCTCAATACATACTGATCGTCGTAGCAATTGATTTCAGATCACAGCAATAGATATCATGGTACGAAATCGGGCTGCCCTTCATCATCAAAGCAGGAATGGAACACAAGATCGACTTCATTCAATCTGAAGCTCTCCCAGTCCTCGATAACCTTCTACGAAAAGAAGGGAGCTTTGATTTCGCGTTTGTGGACGCGGACAAGCAGAACTACGGCAACTACCACGAGCGGCTGATGAAGCTGGTGAAGATCGGCGGCGTATCTTTTCCCTCTGTTTTGTGATTTTTCTTGCTACTCTTGCATTAATCTCTCTTCCTTGTCAGTTTTTCACGCAGAAACAATAAACTGACGTATCTTTCTGCAACCTAATTCGCCCACATAAGGCAGAGGAAAAAACGGGAAAATAGCCACGTACCCAACTCATGACTCATGATTCACATCCCCGCCGATCCACTCAACTCAACAGCATCGTTAACAATGATGGGCGAACCAGAACTTGCTCACAAAAATACCATAAAAGTTCCTCCTCAATTTACAGTGTCAGACCAGAATAGAAGTCTTTCATCCATAGAGAATACCGTTTCCTGTCCCTTTTCCACTCTTCCTTTCTATATAAACACAGCAGTTTCACCTATCATTCACATATCTTGCCGCGTTACTGAAACTAGCTAAGAATCAATCCCACAGAAAAAAACTCAGCTACCAGCTGCTTTCAGAGCTAGGAGAGCCAGAATTCTTATTAAGAAGAAATGGAAGGTGATAGCAGCAACAGAATCATACCTTCTCATTCCAAGGGGCTGTTGCAGACCCCAGAGCTATACCAGGTAAATTACCTTTCTTCTTGGTTTACTTCCGTTATTGGGACCGGTTGGTTTATTAAAACTCTGGCTTTAATTGGCAGTATGTTCTGGACACGACCGTGTTTCCTCGCGAACCACAACCCCTCAAGGAACTGAGAGACCTAACCGCCAACCATCCTAGGTGCATAGAAAATACTCCAACGTTGACGAGTTATTAGAACCAACTAGTTTTTAACGATTATGTTTACTTCCTCTGCTGCTGTACGTTTGTTGCAGGGCAATGATGGCAACTGCGCCTGACGCTGGTCAGTTCGTGGCACTGCTGTTGAAATTGACAGGAGCAAAGAAGACCATCGAACTTGGAGTCTTCACTGGCTACTCTCTTCTTCTCACCGCTCTTACCATTCCTCAAGACGGCAAGGTAATAATCAAGAACTACGTTAAAATGATTACACTGCTTATATATATTAGTGGCTATGTGTCATTTTTTTCCATAATATAAATTCATTTAATTAAAATTGTCTTTTTTTTACACAAAAATCAATCTTATTATGGTAACCAAATAACAAGAAGCAGTGAGTTTCAAATGTAGTGGCAAAATACCCTTACATAACCTCAAGATGTTGAATTCAATTCATTGCATAAGTAAAACTGAGATATGTTCTGTGACAATGCCATGGCGTGCAATGATTTGATGATGTGTTGTTGAATTCTCAGATCACAGCCATCGACACGAATCGCGAGTTTTACGAGATAGGACTCCCGGTAATTCAAAAGGCTGGCATCGGTCACAAAATCGAGTTTATAGAATCCGAAGCTCTGCCTGTCCTCGACGAGCTGCTAAAAAAGGTGAGTCGGTAATTAACTTAACTTATAGGGTTGAATTTTTTTGCAGGGGCGGAGCTACACTCAAGCTAGGGTGGGCCCCGGACACCCCCCCCCCCAGATTGGTCCTGGCCCCTAGGATCGTAAGAATATTTAGTACATATTTTATAAGTAGAACTTGTTTCGTAAATTTTGTTGTGTAATAATCATGTGGTCTAATGGTAGTCAAAGCTTGATTTGTGTTTTAAAGCACACAGATTTGATCCACCTTGGCTACATACATTTTGTTTAATTATTTTCGGACCCCCCGGTCTCGAAATCCTGGCACAGCCCCTGATTTTTTGCACAGGCCCACCACTTCATATGTTAAAAAAGAAAAACGGTTGATATATGGTCATGATGACTTGAATATACATGACCTAAAAAACAAATCAGTTCTGATACCATGTCATAAATGAACGGTCTTTTCGATTCTGATTCTGCAGGAAGCGAATGAAGGTAGCTACGACTTCGCCTACGTGGATGCTGACAAGCTCAACTACTGGAACTACCATGAGAGGCTGATGAAGCTGGTGAAGGTTGGAGGGATCATTGTCTATGACAACACCCTCTGGGGAGGCAGCGTCGCTGCAGATCCCGCCACCGTGGGGCACAGAGGTGGCGCCGTCACACAATCCACGATCCAGTTCAACAAATCGATCGCCGCGGATCCACGTGTCGACATATCGCTCGCTCCACTTGGCGACGGGATCACCGTTTGCCGGAGGATCTATTGAACTTTGGATGGCTGTTTCCATCTATAAAAATGTCGTTGGGTTTCAGCATTGTTATGTTATGTTATGTACTACTACTCTTTGCCTACTTCATTTACTGCACAATAAATTAAGTTCAAAATAAAGAAGTCCTCTGGCTTTTTTGCTTTTTTTTTAAGTTGGAAGTGAAAGTGGAAAGAAGGAAGTGTGTTTGCCAAGTGCTCCAACAATAAGTTGAAGGTAATGTTTGAGATGTTCTTGATAATAAAGAAATTAAGAATTTTCAATACATATATTATAATAGTGAATTATATTTTTTTCACTCGTTAAAACTGATTAAACGGTTCTGGTCATAATCGAACTGATTATCATCCCTACTCATTACGTAATTTTTGCAATTTTCTAAGAGGGCTTTACACCTATCACATGGCACCAAATGAATCTTCTTTTCTTGTTACGTCCCACACTAAATAAAGTTACACGACAACTTCTCGAGGGCGTCAATCACAAAGCACCGTTCTTTAAAAGTAGTCTAGTTCATTTATTTGTTTATATTTTTGCAAAATAAAAGTTATCATTAGAAAATTACTATAAAATTTATAGAATGATTAAAAGTTTAAGCTTCGATTTTGTGTTTCCGGTTTTACCAATTGTTGTCGAAACCGGACCGCACAGTGATCCGGATTAACAAGAGGTTTAAGGTTTATCGGATAACCGGTGATTAACCGGTATGAAACCGGTGATAAAACCGGTGACATATAAAATATTCAAATAAAATAATCATGACTTCATGTGACCTCTAAAAATTAATACTAATTTTTAAATTCAGAATTTTATATTTTATTTACATATTCAATTGAAGAATGAAATATTAAAATGTTAATCAGAATAGTAATAAATAAAGATTTTTTGCTTTTTAGAGTTTGACCGTTGGAGTTGGTCAATTGAGAAATCAAATGGGGAAATTGACAAGAAGAGGAAAGTAAATAAAATAATAATTTGAATAAAAAGTAATTAAAGTAACAAAATGATGCATTCTATCAATATTGTTCTTATTTGGGGAAAGGAATTAAGAAGAAGCAGAAGATAGGTAACGTGATTGAGTGCTAAAAAAAGAAAAAGGAAAGTTTTTTTTTTTTTTGACAAAAGATAATCTTCATTGATCAAGACAAGAGAAAGTTACACCCTGGAGAGCAGCCAGGCCTGAAAATCAAACAAACGACTCGTGGTCGGGTACAAAGAAAGGGCCTTACGAGCCACCAAATGGGCTACCCTATTGCTACGCCGACCTACAAATCTAACACTAAATCCTGAGTGAATCGTCAAGTAATGAATAGTTTCCGCAAGAATAGCGCCAATCCGATTATCACAGACATCCACATGATTGATTTTGTCAATAACGACCTTCGCATCACCCTCGAAGCACACCTCCACGAAACCCCAGCTCAGACACGACAAGAGAGCTTCCCGAAGCACCAACATCTCTGCTACCAAGGGATCATCAATACCCGGGAACTGAACACCCTTTGCCAGCAGGACATCTCTCGCCGGAGTCACGACCACAATTCCCCCAGCCGAGTGGGACCCCTTCCTTGTAGCTCCATCCCACATGCAAACCAGCCGAGCCGCCACCACCGGTGCCGGTTGAGGCGGGGGGAGGGTAGGCAAACAGGGGTGCCGATCCATAGGCAACCCTACCCACTCTTCCAACTGCTGATTATATTGACGCATCAGAGCCGGGATCCCAAACTGCTTACCCTCAAAGACAACCCAGTTGCGCGAACGCCAAATTCGCCAAAGGACCGCAGCAACCGCCATAAGCATGGAAGGCTGACTAAGCAAAGACATAAGCCGCTTAAGAAACAGGGGGAAGGTGTCCTGAGGCAATCCTTCACCCAAGGAAGCCAGCCCCGAACAGTCCCAGAGCGCCCGAGCTACAGGGCAGTAGAGGAATAAGTGCTCCATTGTTTCAGATTCAGCCCAGCACACTGGACTCCTAGGAGAGACTGGCACATCTTTGGCAATAAGGGCTTCCGTCGTAGGAAGTAAGCGATTAAGGATTTGCCAAATAAACACCTTCAACTTAGGGGGAAGGTTCGCATCCCACAGCTTGACCCAACTACCCTTCTCCATCCAGCTAACCTCAGACTTCCAACAACCCTTTCTTCTCTCAAGGGTGACAACTAAGTGATAGGCAGATTTGACAGTGAAAATGCCCTCCGGAGTGCTATGCCAAATCAACTTATCCTCCACTGGCCAACGCGGAAGAGGGATAGTCTTAATAGCCCGACAAGTCGGAGGGTCAAACCACTGGCTCAACTTTTGGTCACACCATCTGCCCCCTTCCTGACTGATCACCTCCGCCACCATTGGGCCCCCCTCCACCGACAGGACCTGGGGGTTATAGTTAGGAGGATCCAATTGAAATTGAGGAATCCAGTTCGAGTGGAGCAGGGGAGCAGACTGCCCATTGCCAATTTGCCACCGTAAGCCAGCAACTAATAATTGACGGCCATACAGAATACTCTGCCACCCCCACGAGGGCCGAGACCGTGCCGTGGCCAAAAGGAAGGACCCATTCGGGAAGTATTTGCCTTTATAGACTTGAGCCAGGAGAGACTGGGGTTCCTGAAGGAGACGCCACCCGATTTTAGCCAAAAGAGCTTGGTTAAAATGTTCAAATCGGCGAAACCCCATGCCACCCTCATGCTTACTCCGGCACATATTCCTCCAGGACATCCACCGAATTTTCGATTGGTTATCCTCCACACCCCACCAGAACCGTGCCACATGTTTATCCAGTAACCGGCACAGAGAGAGGGGCAGCCTGAAGCAGGACATCACATGCAAAGGTAAGGCCAAGGCAACCGATTTGATTAGAGTCTCCTTTGCCGCCCAGGACAATGTTGTACGCTTCCAGCCTTGGAGCTTATCAAGTAGCTTTTCCTCCAGGTACCTAAAGGTCTCCATTTTTGACCGGGCAATTAGCGTAGGCAAACCCAGATACTTATCCTGGACCCCGACCGCCCCCACGCCCAAGACCGCAGCCAGGAATTCTTGGTCAGGCAAAACAATGTTTTTACTGAAACAAACTGCCGACTTTTCCAAATTCACTCTCTGCCCACTGAGCTCCTCATACTCATTCAAGACCTCAATCAAATTCTCACACTCCTGCAGCGACCCACGCAGAAACAAATAAGAATCATCAGCAAAGAACAAGTGCGATATTCTCGGGGCCCTGGGAGCAACCTTGATTCCGCCAAGTTTATTATCAGCAATGGCCTTCCGAAGAAGCGCCGCAAACCCCTCCGTGCAGAGGACAAACAAAAGCGGGGATAGAGGATCCCCCTGGCGGAGGCCTCGGGTGGGAGCGAAGTAACCCGAGGGGGTACCATTCATTAAAACGGAGAAAGAAGATGACCGCAGACATTCTTGTATCCATCCCCTCCAGGTAGAGTTAAACCCCATTTTCTCCAAGACAGCGAGCAGAAAGGACCATTCAACTCTATCATAGGCCTTTTCCATGTCAACCTTTAGAGCCATGAACCCTTTCTTTCCACGTGTCTTAATCTTTAAATAGTGCATTAACTCATGCCCGAGGAGGATATTCTCCAAGATCTGTCGGTCTCGAATAAAAGCATTTTGCCCCTCCGAAACAATCTGCGGTAAAAAACCCGCAAGCCTTTCAGCCATGAGTTTGGTAATAATCTTATACACAAACTGGCACAGGCTGATTGGCCGCAACTGCCGCATGTTATCCACTGAGTCAACTTTAGGAATTAGCGTGAGCCAGGTATGGTTGAAGCTGCGGAGCATCCTACTAGTCTCAAAGAAAGAGCAAACTGCCTCAACCACCGAGACTCCCACAACATCCCAGAAAGATTTGAAAAATTTCCCTGTGAAGCCATCTGACCCAGGAGCCTGTTTCGATCCCATAGCAAACACCGTTCTACGAACTTCCTCAGGAAGAACATCAGCCGTTAGGCTGACGTTCATTTCAGGGGTAACAGACCGATTGATAGGCAACCCTGCCACACGCTCAGACATATTAGGGACCCGATCCTCTGAGGTAAAGAGCTGCTCATAGAAATTGGTCGCAATACCAGCTTTCCCAGGCTCATCAGTTACCCAAACACCCTCATCATTACGCAGGCCAGCCACAAAATTCCTCTTACGGCGCGTCCGAGTCACTGTATGGAAATAGGAGGTATTCTTGTCTCCTTTCTTAAGCCAGTGGACCCTAGACTTTTGCTGCCAATAAAGCTCTTCTGCTTCCCATTGACGAGACAGCTCCTTTTCTAGAACTCGGATTGCATCCCAATCAATGGGCTGGGAACGCTTGATATTCTCAATTTCATTCTGGAGGGTTTTTATATTACGGAGGGAATTAGTGGTGCCCGCTCTACTCCAATCATAAAGCAAATGACGGAGTTTCTTAAGGCGTTCCCATAATCGAAACATAGGCGTCCCCTGTACATCCTCCCGCCAAACGTACTGAACCATGGCCCTAACTTCCGGATTGTCCGCCCAACGGGCATCAAACCGGAAAAGAGGCCGGCAATTACGGGCGTAAGGTTTGTCCGAGAGAAGGAGTGCCCTATGATCAGACCCTTGGTCCGTAAAATGTTTGACCAGCGTATCAGGGAAACAATCGATCCATTCCTGCGAGCACAGTGCTCTATCAAGACGCTCCCGAATGCAAGCTGTACCCATCCTCCGATTCGTCCACGTGAATTGATCGCCCTGATAGCCTGGATCATGAAGACCCAAGTTGAGAATAAAGTCCCGCAAACTAGCCGACTGAGCAGCATTCCAAGGATTTCCTCCCTCTTTTTCACTTTCATGAAGAATAGTGTTCAGGTCGCCAATGACGACAAAAGGGCTCTGAATGGTAGCACAAATATCGTGAAGCTGGGCTAATTGGGACGCCCTGGTGGCAGCATTACAACTAATGTAAACACACACCACAACATAAACAAAATCTCCTTCATTAATTTGAACACAAATACAAAAATTTGAATGAAAAAACACCGAAGCATCAACTTCGGGGGACC